GGTAAATAAACTTATGTGGCCAACACACTTTCAACGGACGCGCGTCAACAATAAAGGGCCCATTGAGCAGAGGCTGCGAGTGTATGTTGGACACATCATGTCGTTGAGATATTATATACGTCTACGCAATTTAACTGCGCGTTATAAAGATGTTGTGTGCAAAGGCAGACCTGTTTTGACTCCTTTGTTTAGTAAAATTAGTTGTAGAGTTATGATTAATTCGGTATAGGAGAATAAAGATTGGTGAGACAATCGGAGGCAGCATCGAAAACAAAGATAAGCTAGTATATTTGTGTTTTTTATGTAAATATTTTTTTATTGATGGTAAATGATTTTTCTGACCCATAGACATCTGCATCTATCCTCGATTACGAATCAAAATGCAGATGCGCTGTCACCCGTGAGGATTAAGATGGAATGGCCCGTTTCCAGTAAAAAGGGTCCCCGGTTCTCTACACTCACCATACAAAACACTGTAGTGTTAAGCGGCTGTTTTACGCTGGTATTCTGTGCGAGCGTGGTCCTTACCCGGTCGAGCCGACCCATTTGTGCTACAACTATACCAGTAATACAGCTGCAGCATGGCTCTACCACGTAAAAAAATAATTGAAGTGACAAACGAACTCAGTTCACCTGATGGTAAGTGGCAACTGCAGTCCACGGACACCTCAAATTGAAGCAGAAGGCAACCGCAAATAAAAAGAACTATAGATGCGTTGTCACCTCGTGAGGACATTAAATGAGACACCAATCAAGTGTGTATATTTAATATATAATTTTTTTTTTGTATTTTATGCGCAGCCACACCTTTCATCAGATTGCAGTAAAATTAGATTTGATTATTTATTTTATCAATTTTTCTACATCGCAAAAAAAGATCCAAGCTTTTCGGGTAAAATATACACGTTACTTACGGGTTACGGCGGTACCCTCTGTCTGTTAGTGAAGTTTCATCGCAATCGATTCAGCCATTCTGAAGACTATCCCGGAGAGACAGACTAACAGACAGAATTATATGAATGGTTATTTATGTCTTACTGGGAAGCAAGTAACCCCCTAAGCTCGATAGAAGGCAGTTATTTTCATATTACAAACATGCCTATTTCAATTTTATTTATGTGTATATATACATCCACGTTACCTCTACACTAGGATTTTCTGCAAAGGCAGTTTACGTACATAAATTGCATATTGACAAACTTCCACACCCGGAACAATTATTTCTAAACCATACCAATACTTTTTTTATAGGAGGAGGCAAACGAGCATGCGGCTCATCTGATGGTAAGTGACTACCGCCGCCCACGAGCAACACCAGGGCAATTGCAGATGCGTTGCCGGGCTTTTAAAAAGGAGTAGGCTCTTTTCTTGAAGGTCCCTAAGTCGTATCGGTCCGTAAAAATCGCTGGTGGTAATCGATTCCACAAGGAAGTTGTGCGAGGGAGAAAACTGCTTCTAAATAGCACAGTGGTGGACCGCCAATTATCCAGATGGTATGGATGGTATCGCGAGTTACTTAATACTTGTACCGTGCGGGATTCAAACCCGCGGCCCTTGGCGCTGCAACTAAATGCTAAGTCACAGCGCCATGCAGCCGTCATTAACCTTATCATTACATTATCGTCATTTCATAAATTAATGTTAACAAAATGTCATTTTAAAACGGTCATAATAATAACCGAGTATGACCTTGTCAGCTTCACGCATCTATGACCTCATTGTGACGAACACGGAGTAGGAAGTGGGCTTAGCGATGCGAGAACTGGAAACAAATCGTTTTAAAACAATTTTTTTTTTTCTCTCTTATCTGTCTATTCATCCGATTAATATGTGGGTTGTCTTTTTATAGGATAAGGGTGACAAACGAGCACACAGTCCACCTGATGGTAAGTGGATGCTGTGGCCCATAGACATCTACATCTATCCTCGATGACAAATCAAAATGCAGATGCGTTGTCACCCGTTAGGAATAAGATGGAATGCATGTTCTCTACACTCACCATACGAAACACAGTGTCATTATAAGATGCTATTTCACGCTGGTATTCTATTAGAGTGGTCCTTCCCCAATCGTGCCAATGCATTGGTGCTACAACCATAATCAAAACCATAAAACCAAAGGCAAGAGTGAATAGGCCTTTGTTAAGCTAAGTCAGTGAGTTTTATCATTATCGGCGGCATCACCACTTACCATCAAGTGTATGTATGTAGTGTAAGTATGCACTGGCTTAGAATAGTTAAAATAAATAGATTTTTCGGTATATATGTGAACACATCTACTGGTTATAACAGTGTATTCCGTCAAATGTATGTTTTTTTTTAACTTATTATAAGCCAGTTGCTTTTTTGCGTGGTAGAGCCATGCTGCAGTAATTACACGTGGTAGAGCCATACTGCAGCTATATTAGTAGTATAGTTGTAGCACAAATGAGTCGGCTCGACCGGGGAAGGACCACGCTTTCACAGAATACCAGCGTAAAATAGCATCTTAACGCTGCTGTGTTTCGTATGGTAAGTGTAGAGAACCGGAGACTCGAACGAGAGACGGAAATGAGGCATTCCATCTTAGTCCTCACGGGTGACAACGTATCTGCATTTTGATTTGTAATAGAGGATTGATGTAGATGTCTATGGGCCGCAGCAACCACTTACCATCAGGTGGACTATGTGCTCGTTTGTCACCCTTATCCTATGAAAAAAGAACCACAATCCCACCTAGTGGTTAGTGGTGATGAAGTAAACCATTTGGTTCTCTTCAACGTTTCGAACGTTAAAAAAACTAGTATAAATATGCATTGCGCGTTTTCCGGTATTTCTGACTTTGCAGAGAATTAAAAATATATGTAAGCGGTAAATGTTCCTCAGTGGGTCTTGAAATCGATATGTATTATATTTTTTATGTTCGCTTAAAGGCGGCTCTTCACATTGGTCAACATTGTTGCGAATGTTGGGGCCAATAACTATGGCCATCATTTAGAGCGGATTTTTGTAATTACCTTGGCATAAGTAGTGGCACGAAAGTCTAGCAGTGACCGTTATTGCGCATAAGTCGCGCTGATTGGCTCGTGCGTAACGTTCGCACGCGCTCATTGGCTCTCCAGTCGCATTCGTACAATTATTCTATTCGTACGCGTCCCCTCCACGTTTCGTTCCGCGCTAGACTTACGTGCCGCGACTTATATGTATTGGAGTGATGGCCCACAAGTTGGCACGAGATCCATGTGGTGTCGGTTTTTTACAAAAGATCAAAGGGTTGTGGCAGAGTTATGACCGCCGCGTCCACACGTTGGGCGCGCGTTTAGTTTGCTACTAGCTCCCAGAATGATTTCACGCACCAGATTTAAATTTTATATACACGCATCGTGACTAGTGTCTACAAAATGGCAGTAACAATGACCAATGAAGAAACTTCGCTTTATAGAGCTCTAGCAAGCCGAAAATTGTTTGTGGAACTCAAGAAATAAAATTTCTTGTTTTTCATTTCTTTTTGATCACCCTTTTTCTTATACACATTCACGTAGTAGCGGTATGCTGTGAATAAATAGATCGCAGCAGCCGTTAGCGTCTTAATATCCATTTTAATAAATTCGTCCGCACATTGGCCTAAACCGAAGCAAACTGAACGACATTCCAACGTGTGGACGCCATCACAAACTCTTGGCTAATTAATATCTTTGCCACAATGTTGGCCAACGTGTAGAGCTGCCATTAGACAAGATTCTTTCAAGCGTGCATACAAATGGACTTTAACCTTATTTTGATTATGAATTGAATCAATCAAATTAATGAAATTTTGTAGACACGTTCTAGAATTTTATGTGTATGTATTTATTTAATCCTTGTACGCGTTGTATAATAACAAAAAAGTGCACACCTTATTATCTTTTATTTGTCATGTGTCTGTAACTAGCCTACTAGAAGAAATTTCATTATGAGATAAGTGCCGGCCTTGTACATAATCTTCCTCATGAGGTGTCCCTTTTCGTGATTTGTGTGTGTAGATACATCGTTAGATAATCATTTTTTTATAGGATATGGTGACAAATGAGCACACAGTCCACCTGGTGGTAAGTGGTTGCTGTGATCCATAGACATGTACATCTATCCTCAATAAAGAATCAAAATGCAGATGCGTTGTCATCCATGAGGACAGATGGAATGCCTCTTTTCCTGTAAAAAGGGTTTCCGGATCTCTACACTCACCATACGAAACATAGCAGTGTTAAACTGCCATTTTACGCTGGTATTCTGTGAGAGCGTGGTCCTTCCCCGGTCGAGCCGACCCATTCGTGCTACAACTATACTACTAATATAACTGCAGCATGGCTCTACCACGTATAAAACGTGACTATGGGTGCATGGGTGTAACAAATCAGCGGTAACGTTGAAAATCTATATATATATCTATAAATAAAATTGAACTGGCTGTAATATTGATATAAGCATTCACCTATGTCCGTCCGGTCTAATCTTTAGAATGGCTGTACCGATTGTGATGCAACTTTGCGGACAGATAGAGAGCAATGCTAGGACTTATCTAGGCTATATTTTATCCGAAAAACTAAGATGTTTAAAAAAAATAGTTCCCTTAACTTTAACCTAAATAACGTTACATTAATATATCCTATCCAGGCGACGCTGGAGCCAGTCACTAGTTTAAAATAAGTTAAGATTGGAGAGACAGTTAAATTCGTAAATATCAGTTTTCATACATAATTTAAAAGTTTAAACAAAAGGTAAAAATTTCAAATTCCTAAAAAAAGAAGTTATTTATTTGCTACCCCTGAGGATGAAACTTTTTCTTCAAATTTATATGCGACCACCCTTGAAGTATGACCTATTTAATAAAAAAAGAATCATCAAAATTGGTTCATAATCTGCGAAGATATCGCGTAGCATACATACAAAAAAAAAACACTCGGATTGAGAACCTCCTCATTTTTGTAGTAGCTTAAAAAGATTATGATATAATGTTTAATATTACCGTGTGTTCATTACAGAGTACAGATGAACAGAAAATAATCTACTCGGGTCAACTCTTGGATGACAATACAATACTTAAGGACGTGCTTCGAACCTACGAAAGTCAGATCTTGCATACTATGCACTTGGTCTGCACGCCAAAGAGAGGAATGACCAACGACAAACCAGCAGAGACGCCGGCGGACGGTCTCCGGCAGCGCAACGTCACCCAGCCTGAGACCGAAAGGCCGGCCGAGACCGCCTCGAGACCGGAAACGAGGCAGAATGACCAGAACCACACCGTCGAAATGCAGAACTACTTCAGCTCGTACTTGAATAACTATGGGAGGGTACCACCGTATCCCAATTATAACTTCGGCGAAGGGTATCTCCCGGCGCCTAACGACCCGGCCATGTTCGCCAATCACATGATGATGATGCAGCAGGCATATTTACAGTACATGCAGCAGTATGCTAATATGTAAGTATTATCTGTGATATAAAAAAAATACTCATTTGGTGTTATAGGTTCGATTCTGCCTAAATCCGAGTTCCGACTTTATAGATACTTTAAACTAGATAATTATGAAATTACAACTCACACCAAAAACGCACAAAATAAGAAAAAATTAAAGAATACAAATGTTAAATCAAAGGTTGGCAAGGGCCCTAAACGACGTCCCAGACGAAAGTTTATCGACTAAATTGGTGATATTTGTAGTGGACGTAGATGGGATACCTTATAGGCTGTAATTAGCACAGAGCCGAGAGTATTTTTTTAACTGGCTTTACGGTTCTGGGTTCTAGCCCTTCTGAAGCTAAGTGTTGTTCAGGCGGCAGGCGGGGGCGGAGGCGGGCGAGGCGGAGGCGGCGCCGGAGGCTCTGGGCGCGGAGGCGGGCGCGCGCGAGGCGGCGGCGGCCGACGAGGCGGCGGCGCGCGACTGGCTGGACCACGTGTACGCGGCCTCGCGCCTCGCCATCCTCTTCTCGCTCGTCTACCTGTACGGCAGCCCCGCCCGCCTGCTGCTCGTGCTGCTGCTGGCCGTCGCCGCCTATTTGTAACTATACTTATTTACTCATTTTACTACCCACATTTTTTTTAATATAGAATAAGAGTGACAAACGAGCACACAGTCCACCTGATGGTAAGTGGTTGTTGTGACTCATAGACATCTACATCTATCTTCGTTTGCGAATTAAAATGCAGATGCGTTGTCAGCCATGAGGACTAAGATAGAATGTCTCTTTCCCAGTAAAAAGAGTCTACGGTTCTCTACACTTACAATACGAAATACAGCAGCATTAAGCTGCTATTTCACGCTGGTATTCTGTGAGAGCGTGGCCCTTCCCCGGTCGAGCCGACCTATTCGTGCTACAACTATACTACTAATATAGCTGCAGCATGGCTCTACCACGTATATATTTTTTGATTGTATTGTATTGTTTAATTGTACACAGCTTAAAGATGTATACAATTGTTGTGCTGGGGACTGGTGTCCAAACACCAAACAATGTACAAACCGATAAAAAGAATGCCGACTCATTGACCACGTCAAAATGGTTACAGATTCCTCGCTACAACAGGTACCATCCGCAGAGATCGTGATCCTTGGTAATTTTAACTCCCACCACTCGGAATAGCTCGGTTCACCTTTAACCGATCATGCGGAGAGATCTGTTCATAATTTTGCCTTGGCACAACTGGTTACTACGCCTACGCAGATTCCAGATATAGAGAATAATGCACCTTCCCTATTGGACCTTCTCCGGACAGATATCAGGTCTCCGTCGACGCCCCTCTTGGCTCCTCAGACCATTGTATAGTCCGGAATGAGATGCCACTCACGCTGAAATCGTGGTTGCTTTCTGCAGGCTGCCGCCGTGTTTGGCACTATAAATCAGCCGATTGGAATAGGATGCGGTCTTCCTTTACATCCTACACTTGGGGGCGGGTTTGCTTCTCGCCGAACGATCCCAACGCTGTTGCTAATTATATTGCTGATGTGGTACTTCAGGGTATGGAACTTTTTATTCCTTCCTCTGTGGTGCCCACCGGAGCCGGATCTGAGCTATCACTTAGTCGCTCCTGTAAAATAACATCACGCTACAAGCAGGAGTGCTACCAAGCTTGGACTGACGCATCAACGTCCCGGAATATAAACACCAGTGCCCTTAAAAAGAAGTATGATTTCGCCTCCAGATCCTTCAAAAAAGTCATTACCAAGGCAAAGTCAGAGCACATAGTCAGAATTGGCGAGAAACTAGTTCACCTTCCTTCGGGTGTTCCACAAGGTTGCGTGCTATCTCCATATCTTCTGGTCTACTTGACTCCTCAGTTCCAGCTCCTGACTGATGGCTGGCTGATTTCGTTTTAGTATTCGATATTTTACTAATCCGTTGGGCTATGTCGGACACTCTGGTTCTACTGCGGATATACTCATTTCTAAGTTTATCACGCAGAGAAACCCCGAGCATAGCCCTCTCCATAACTCGCTGAGCGACCTTGAGCTTCCTCATACGGCCAGCAGTGAAGGACCATGTCTCAGATCCGTAAATTATCACTGGCAACACGCATTGGTTGTACAATTTTATTTTAAGGTTTTGAGGTATGTCTAACGAGAAGATATGTCGTAGTTTCCCGAACGCTGCCCAGCCGAGTTGAATCCGTCGATTGAGCTCTCGGTCGAAGTTGGACTTACCTAGTCGGACTATTTGTCCCAGGTAAACATACTCGTGTGGTAGGTAAACATATGCCGTGTGACAAAATGGCAGAATCTAGACACTGTAATAATGAATATAATGATGATACAGTGTTTGCTATTCTCGTTCCCCTCTGCGCGGAGCTTCGTCACCTCCCCGCTCTTGTCTACTAAGCCTTGTACATATGTGTGCAATGCAAAATAATTTTTAAACTTGTTAACAATATTATAATAAATAAATCCTACAATCATCCTACTTCTGTCACTCTGCATTCGTCTCATTCTCTCGAAGTTTAGTATTCTGAATGCTGAAGGTTTCACAACTACCGCGTGTGAACTGCACACACGTTTTTTTTTTAACTTTTACAATATGTACTCTTTGTTGCAGGCACCAAATCGGTTTCTTCCGCGACTTACACGTCCCTCCCAACAACACACCAGCTGCAGCCACCCCAGAGGAAACCACACCCACCCGTCAGTCCGTACTCACTTCAACCTGGATAATCGTAACATCCTTTTTCGCGTCTCTCATACCTGACACCAATTAGTATTATTACACATGTCAAAGTAATCGATTTTGACTGATTCGATTATCCGCATTCGAATGGATTTCTTAAGAATTGATAATTTTTGTAAATACCTAATACGATTGTTGCTTGATTTCCTGATCACTCGATGACGCCTTGGAGCTGTTTAACTGTAATGTTAGAATATATAAAATTATGGTTTTTCGATTCTCAAAAGATTGTTTTTGGAATATTTAAGAATGTACATATTATCTGAATCCTTGAGTTGACTGTTACGATGCATCGACATTTTGTTTTTCTGATATAAATATAAACGGTTTGTTTTTAAATAATATCGTAACATTGGAATGCTGACAGGTCAAACGATATTATAAAACAATAATAATTTTGATAACCACTTAGGTTCTTATAATTTATTTACATAACATTCAAATATGTACAATATTAAAAAACCATAATTAAAAATAAAATCTTAAATTATCATACAGTCCTAATCCCGGCGGTTTAGTGCAAAGAACGCTGCGTTTCCTCGCTGAATAGCTATTTATTTAACCTTTGAGCGAGAAAAGAACCAGCCCTCTTATCGCCACTAAAACACTGAAAAACAAATGTCATTTTCAAATATATTTGTGAAATATTTGTGAAACGTCTGCAAAAATAAGTTAAAAACAATGTAGAGCTGTGACAAATACAAATTATTTAACGAGAAGTATTTTGAAATGTAATTATAAAACACATTAAAACACAGTGTTATCTTTTATATTTGCATTATTCATTAATATAGTATTAAAAACAGTTTGGATGCAATTAATGTTTCAATTGCGTAAACTTATAGTCTGTTTACTAAGATAGTGTACACCCGGAGGCGCACTTATTATTTTGCTTTTATTTTATTATTTTTTATTGTGTTTGTTAAATAAATGTTTTCCAATTCTAATAATAAAATAGAATACCATTTTATTGTTATGGTTATTTCAATAAAATACCAATAAAAATAATAAAAATAAGTTAGGTTGTAAGAAACCTTTCACTACGGCGCTTTGTTTTAAAATGCCATATTCTCCTCCGGGTGTACGCCGCGCCGCATACGGCGAACTTAGGCGCGACACAAAGGCGACCGTATCTAAGTGAACAGACTATACTGAAATTATTAAGATAAGACTACGATGATATTGTCCGAGACTTACTTTTGATGGAAAACCATAACACCAAAAAAAAACTTGGTTATCCAGAGTAACGGATTCCCTGGGAATTTCGAAAAATTTTCACGTTACTAAGCTATGATAATTGTAAGCGAACCACTGTCAGGCTTATTTGTAAATATTTAGTGTTTTAGATTATTTACTCGTAAAGTACCCTAATTTAGACATATTGAGGAAAAAAATTGTCTCTAGTAGAGTTGCCTAAAATGCATCGAAGCATTAATAGTACACATATTTTAAAGCGTTATAAAAAAAAACAAAGTCTTCTATGTACGCTACTAAACGGTCGCTACGGTACTAATACATTGCGCTCTAAATTACGGTCAATTCTGCGTAACTCTTAACTGCGAGCGGGCGAGAAGACTAGTTCTTTGCTTTGTAAACCGAGAACGTTGGTTTTCGACAATCTAACACTGATTTTGTTTAATGTGACTAAGAAAACACTGTCATTATTTATGTGCGCGCTTTGTTAACGTGATCTGAAGAATATTTCAGATAATAAGTAAGAAGTATGTAACTTTATTTAGTATTTACCTAAAAACAATGCGGTAAATGAAAATGCACAACTACGTGGCATTACCGTATTTACCATGAAGCAAATACAAAGAGGATGTGTTGTAATTAGATTTCACTATCTAACAACGCGTGACAATTTGCGGGGTGAGGGGATGTTAAGCCCCGCCCACTTTACACTATCTACATCTACCGATAATTAGTATCTACTCGAATATAATATACCATATCGATGTGGCAATGTAGTTTACCTAACTATCTTGACGATAGATGGCGGTATGTTCACAAAATTATTATAAACTATAAAAATAATATTTTGGCGATTAAAATTTCTTTATGTCTGAATGGAAAACAAATTTCAGCATCTTCGTATGTAATTATATAATAAAATTATGATTATTTTACTAATACTGAGCTCTACGTACCTTTATATTTATAGTTCACATGACACAAAGTGTCGCCATCTAGTGTCCAATATATTTAAAGCCGACGCAAAGAGATTTTTCTAGAACTATTTTAAAAAATTAGGTGTAAAATTACTTACAAATGAAATGTGATGCCATCCATAGCATCAGAGCGTCTATCTGAGTAGTTTTTACACGATAAAACACAACACTTCATACTTTTCTTCTTAATATTACGAAAATACACCGATTTGCGATTTTCAACACATAAGCGCACAGGACGAATGCTAACAGTATACTAACTAAAGCCACGCCCACTTTGATGACATCAGGACCTACTTAGAATCACAGTGCACAGTTGCTTATGCCATGTCCTCTTTGTATTTGCTTCATGGTATTTACCGTGTCTGGTACTCGCCCGCGCCCGTGCTATCCACGGTTTTTGTTCTGACTAGCCCGTGTAGTATTATACATAGAAGTCTTTGCGAAAAAAAAAATATTTTTTGGCGGTAGGCTATTTTTCATAGGATATACGACCAGTGTTATTAAAAGTTTCCTGTATATATTTACGAAGTGTTTATCAATTATCGTGTCTTGGCTGTTTGTGGCAAATTCAGCACGATGTCTTCATAAGTTGATAGATATAAAAAAAAGTTTTTCATATTTATTATCTTTAATAAATTATTGGAGTATAAAAAATCGTAAGACAGGCTTATAACATAAGGTTTTTATTATATTTAATTAAAGTTTTTAAAGGTATTCAAATGTTCGGTGTACTGATGTGAAACCAAATATTAATTATATATAGCATTCTTAGACGGTAAATTTAGAGTTTATTTGTTAACTTATTTGCGAAATACAAGTGGGGGCATGAAGTAGGGCCTATTTCAAGCGATATTTAAAAAAAAATTAAACATCGTTCACCAATTGTGGGATGGTCAACATATTTGACAGGATAGCGATGACGATGCCACAATAATACATACAAAGCATCATGACTGTAATCCTCGAGTGAGTAGACTGGGACCAGCAAGCTACTCGGACTACGTGTAGTAAAAAGAAAGTGTATATATGGTGAAAGAAGTGCTACCTTTACACCTTTTACGATATGCTATGCAAACAACAGTTGGCACATTTCTTTTAAAATCCCAGACCGACTTGGGTCTCACAATAAATCACCAGAAAAACTTTTAGAGTTAAATCAATTTTTTTTATTTTAAGAATTTGAATTTCGATGTATATTATATTGAAGAACATGAAATATGTCACAACAAAGTAAGTCGCCTATGGACGGAGACACACAGTATTGCTATTAATTAAGAAAGTGATATTTATTTACTTTGTGTGAAAATTTTGCCTTTAATATTACGGAACTCAAAATTAACGATTGTAATAAATAATAATACACTGAATATTATTTAATTCTTTATTGTAGTATTGTGATCATTATCCTGTGCATATATAATCATGTTAACAACAAATTAAGTCACTGATTTAGGTTTTCTATTCTTATACAAGAAAAAGATCCATTTACTCATCATATATTTACTTTATACTAAGAACTTTTATATCGCTTCTCGTTGGCCTTACTTTTAAACATTATATTGTATAATATTTCGTGGGTAACTCAATGCAGTGGCCACATCACTTGTGTTTCTCAATACAATAACCTTTTTAATATTTTTAGTTGATAGTTAATTACAAAATTTTATGGTATAGTTGGTAGTGAAAAAAAAAATTAACACACATAGGTGTTGTTATATAAAGGTAAAGTTATAACCTATATACGTCCCACTGCTGTGCACAGGCCTCTCACTTCTGAGCGGGTTGTTCTATATTCTATAGCAATGGAAATTACTGACACTTTAATTAATTGTGATATTATAACATCGATCACTAATAACAAAAAACTAGATACACAATCCCATGCAAAAGTTCTCTACAAACTGTCCCCAATCGTTTTGACGTAATTCTAGTTGATATAAATATACATTAATGTAAATTCAACCTTAAGTGCATTGCCTAAAGTTGTATTCACAAAGCTACGTACAAAATAAAAGCGCACCCAAATTTTCGAGGGGGCGCTCATTCGGTAAGGTCATTTTTTGTCACCGATTGTGTATCTAGTTTTTTATTAGTGATCGATGTATTATAACTATTTAAATATCACTGCAATTTTATCTGTTTGTATCATTATTTAGAGTTTGTGACAACCAATACAAATAGACAACTTACGATTTTAACATAATAGGACGAAGCTTAACAAAACAGAACTAATGTACAAACTGGTTTAAGATAGCGGACGTTTCTTTTGAATTAAATTAATTATCACAACTGTTAGCAATAGATATGAAACTTGACGGACATTTTGTACTTGAACATATTCGGTTAGGTTAAAGTTTAATGGGAATTACTTAGCTACGTCCAATGATATGTGTGATCATGGTCATATTGCAGTAGAGGACTTTCACGTGTGAAGCGAAAATTCCATCTCTATACGATGTTTAATCTAAACAATTACGTAATAATGACCACAAACTTTTTCCTCTTCTCTATCAGCCCGTGATATTCCAGTGCTGGATATAGATCTCTCACATATAACAACTAAGTGATATATGTGTGATAGTGAGGGTAGTTTAACATTATTATTCAGCCTTCTATCGAAAGGCATGAAGTCCTTCAGATATTTTCCTCCATCCATGTCTCCTCTTGCAGCACCTATGAGATGAATTGGGGGTAGATGGATTTTCTTGTGGCGTTACCACGCCCAGTTCTCCTTAGAAAAAAAGAAAATATATTTCTAGCAATCCACCCCGGCTTAGCACGGGTAATAACTGGATCTCGACAACTGCAATATAAACCATCAAAATTTGTCCAGCCGTTTAGAAGGAGTTTAGTGATA